GCTTGGTATGTTTGAGGAAAAATTAAAAAAGCAATATCAGGTGCACCACAGGAAACAAGTGAAAGTGCTAGGACTTTGTAGGCCATAGATTTTATCTAGTTGCAATAGGAAGCCAGGGAAGGATTGTAAAGAGAGAAATGACTTTTATCTGATAGATCCTCTAAGAAGATCAGACTTGCTATTATGTGAAGAATGAAATGTTAGGGAGAAATGAACAATAACAGTTAACAAAATATAATATTGTTCCTTTACAGTGTTTCTTACTTCTCTCTCTTTCCCACTTCTAATAATGGATTAATTCAAAAGCATCCAAGCTATTCTTCCATAGCTAGACAATACCTTTTTTTTAATGCTTTAATCATGCCTTTCTGCGACAAAAGTCTCAAATCACTTACCACTGCCAACAAAATAAAACCCAAATTCTCTGACACTCACTCAATAATATTCCACAATCTAATCCCAAACCACCTTTCCACCTTTGTCTTCCACTCTACTATTCCATTCAACATGGTTGACTCAGTCTTTCCTGAACACAACTTACAATGCCAACTTCCTTAATATAGCTCTATGCACACTGACCCTTTTCCTTATTCTTTTCCTATATTCAAATTCTCTCTCTTCCCATGGCTCAACATTCATTATTCTTAGTTATCCAAAGCAGTAGTTTTTTAATTGATCCATAAGATATCATGATCCAGTTTACATAAGTTTCACAATTCTACATTTAACTTTTCTTCGTGCAATCCATTTTGGCATTTTCTATTGTTTTCAATTTCTTTTTCAACATAAATGGTCACACAGAACACTAATGATTTTCAGTTTTCCATTATTAGTGCACCTAGACATTAACTGGACACTTAAGTAGATCATAGTACTGAAAGATGAAACCCATAAATACCAAACTATAATAGCCTTAACTGTAAAGATATAACAGGGTCACTATTTATACTTCATTTTATTTATCATGTCAGCAGACTATTTATTAATCATCACTGTAAAGAAAGACTGATATTAAACACAGTTATCATAATTCATGATCAGACAAGATCATGATTTAGGAGTGCTTTATATTCACATCACCTTGTTTCAAACTGTAACTATCAGAGTCAAAATGGTCATTTTCAATGATACTGTAACCAACACTTCCTGCCTTCCAACCTCATAGAATTACATAATAGCTTTGTAAAATGTGGGGATATAGTAACTCGTAAGTGCTAGTTTTCCTCTTTCCTTAAGGGGTATGTGAAAGTCCATATGTATGGAGGATACCTAATACCATTTTGTAAGACATCGATCTCTTTTATTACAAATAGTCATTTCTCTGCCTAGGAAGGAATTATTAATTCTGTGTCCTCATTTGGCCCTTCCAGTTTTGCCAAAGTTTAATAAGGGTAAGCCTTTTGTTTTGATGGAATGACAGCTATTAAAGTTGAATGGCCTCTCCTGCAGTCAGCACTAAGGTTCTTGACCATTAAAGTCCTGTTTAAAGTTGTTGACTCTGTTAAAAAACATCATCAGTGATTTGAATTAAGAAAATGAAAAAGCAATGAAGCGACCTAAAATCTGTACTGAATCCTTTCTTCTCTGGCAAAGGACCCAATTCATAAGCAAAATAAATTCTTAGTTCTTCAGTCTCAAAGAGTTTACCATGAGATAATTCATATAGGTTCCTGAGGAATACAGAATATTTAAAGGTATTCTGTTTTCTCTCCATTTTCACCTTGGACTGTTATGACCTGTTGTAGGTCTAGGGGACCAGGGATGGCATACAGGTAACAAATGCTCCTGAACCATCTAGACCAAGTTCAACACAATCCACATGGTTTTAGGCAAAAATCAGCCCCCAGGACAAAATCAAGAAAGAATGCAAACTTCCATATTCAATCTAAATTACCCAAAGGTCCTTGATATGCTGTAGGTATCTGGTATAATACTCTGGGTATTCCAGACCCCAAATCTCCACCATTAGGCTTCCCTCTGTAATCTGGGAGTATGAACCTCAACATTTGTTAGCTATTATTTCAAGGACAGAACACAGGCTTTTAACAATCTTACAACTTTATTTAAGAGAGCCATCTGGAATTACTCTGCCAATCACTAACATTTGCCCAACACTGCATTTGCCCAAGTAAAAAAACAGACTCAGAGATTTATATCTAAGATTTTAGAACCAAGCTTAAAAGGAAAAAAAGCATTTTCTTAAATGAAGATTTATATGCATATGTGTGTATATAAATACATATAATACATATATTTATAATGGCCAAATTTCAATATGAATTATTTGAATTTCAAGAATATGAATTATAAAAATGCCTTTTGAGAATAAAGACAAAATTAAATTTACCATTTTGATGGTGAGATACTTTCTTTACATAAGATCATGCTTAAAGGCAAAGGAGAGGTAAAGCCAAAATTCTATTTATCTCAAAGGATGCCAAAGCTGGATTAACGTTTTTCTGTAACACATCAAATAAAAAACCATGCCTGATAAAAAGGACTATTAAATAAAACTAGGTGGAGGCCTAAAAATTTAATAACAATATAGGGGGGCTGGGGTTGTGGCTCAGTGGCAGAGCACTTGCCTAGCATGTGTGAGGCACTGGGTTCGATTCTCAGTACCACATACAAATAAATAAAATAAAAAATTTCATCGACAATTAATAAAAATAGTTTTTTAAAAGCTGATGTTTTAAATATATATATATATGCTTAAATTTTTTAAAATATTTCTGTGCTGCTTTCCTGGTAAACACCTCCCAGCCTTAAATCTCCCTGTGTCCTGTTAAGTCACAAGCTGGTAAATTTTCAAAAGTGGGAATGGGTTATTAAATCTGGTTTTGTTTTGGCACTGACCCTGTAACATATGCTCCTAAATTAAGAGTTTTATTTATAGTGATAAAAAAACTTTGAAAAACGTATCTTCAAAAGGTTAATCCTGTATCACCTTTCAGCAAAGGCTTAGAGAAGAAAGGGAGGGAAGAAGACAAAAAATAAAAAAAAAAAAGGAAGAAGAAGAGAGCAAGAGGAAGAAATAATTTGAGAAATAAAGAAATGAAAAATGTGTACTAGCCCTTCTAGATTAATAAAGAATGTCTATTAGCCCTTTTAGGGCTAGCAGAAGAGAATGAGAGAATCATACGGTAAGTATTATAGCTTAGTAAACTAATCAGAAAGTCTCACACTAAGTAAATAAAACCAGAACAAAAGACCTTCACTGGAGATGTCATACAGCCCAGGTAATACAGAGATGCATGTTGTACATGTGTCACAATCAGACACTAGATTAAACTACTTATAGGGTATATCTAAGTAAATACTGAGTGATACACATGTCATTTTCTCTGAGGTTTTCTAAGTTATCAGTAAGTCAAAAATGATATCCAGAATGCCTGAAACAAAATTTGCTCAAAAGATTTTAAAACCTCCATTCCAAAGAGTTACTTAAAAAAAAAAAAAAAAAAAAACTCTTTCAAATGTTAAAACAAGTTTTGCCAGGTTTCCAGTGGGGGTCTATCAAGGGCCACATCCAGATGGACGACAGAATTATAAAAGTCACATTATTTATCAGTATTTAATCCTTGTAGCCTAAAATATGCTCTACCTTTCTATTTAAAGTTCAATGTTAGAGTTTAGTTTTAGAATCCTCAGAGAGATCATTTCTTGATCTTTTCACGGTCTTTCCTGCCATGTTTTAAATGATCCATATCTTTATTATTCTTGAAATGTAATTCAGAAAATAGATTTAAAAAAAAAAAAGGAAGATCTCCTGCTGAACTGCATTGTCACTAACAAAATGTCTTTTACCAGACCCCTGAACTTTGAGTTCCAATTTTATCCTTCATTCAATATTAACGCCATCGTGTACTGTATATCCAAATCTCAGGCATTGAGGATACAAAAGTGAACAAAACAGAATCCTTGCCTTTGAGGCTGGCCTTAAAGTTGGGATCCTCCCGCCTCAGTCTCTCAAGTAGCTCAGATTATAAATGCGCACCGCCAGGCCAGCTCCAAAACACAAATACCATCATTCGTATGACAACTCATTTAAAAATGAATAAATGCTACATATTGCTGAGAGAGAACTTTTCAGTATAGCTGACAAAACTCTTCAACATCTGGCCTGGTTTACCCTATACTATAATCTTTCATATTCATACTAAACCTCTTGCAGTTTCCTTAGTATTCATTGCTCACCCATCAACCTCTGTAGTCTTTCAAGACTCTATACAAAAGGGAATCAAGTGATCTTCCAAAATAATCTTTCTGCACCCTCAACCACCCTCTGCCTCCCATCACATACTTATTATGTTACACAGTATTTTAATTACTTCTTCTCTAACAAAGATGTGAGTTCCTTGAGGACAGAAACTATGTTAAACATTCTTATATTTCCTATGTAAAGCTTGCTGCTTGCTTACAATGATGCATATAGTTCATGCTTGATAAATGTGTTGAAAGCATGAATAAATGAACAAACTGCAAATAAAGAATTAATGCACTCCAATTTTTCATATTTATTACCTATTCCTGAAACCTAATCCTTTAGCAAGACCATATTTAAGCCATGAGCCTATCATGATTTTTTAAAATATTTTTTTAGTTGTCAATGGACCTTTATTTCACTTATTTAATATGTAGTGCTGAGAATCGAACCCTGTGCCTCACACATGGTAAGCAAGTGCTCTACCACTAAACCGCAACCCCAGCCCGCCTATCATGATTAACCTGTTCTGAAAGGCAGAAATAAAAGAAAGCTACCCTGATCTCAAAATTCAAATGAGCTTTAAAATATGTTTATTTCCTCTAGTTTAGGTAGCAAAAGCTTACTTTTTTAATCATTTATTGAAAAAAAAACCATACATATCAGAATCATGACAGGCTTTACATTTTTAAAAATAAAATTACAGTTATATATGTACTGTTATATTATTTTCACAGATAAAATTATGAGTTTGCTTTTTAAATATAAGTAAGAGCTATACCCATTACTGACTCACCGGTTCTTTTCCAGCTCATTATGTGTGGATCTAAAAGGAAAAAAAAACAAAAAAAGAACATTAGCCACACTTGTTAATAAAGCTATAGAAAGAGGAGTTAGTTTAGTTACTGCTATGCCATGACCCTATAATTTAACAATGCAACATATGGTCACACTTCTACAATGTCATGCCTCAAAAGGCAAAGTCTACATTTATTAGAACTTTTGTTTCAGACAGTGTTTTCAGTTAACAGTGTTAAATATTCTGAAATTGAAATTTGTTATTCTAATAAAATTAATACTAGCACATGCCTTCCTGCCTATAACTAGAGCATCCTGTATTTTGTTGAATACATTATATCGGAAATTTTTATTAAAATATTTAATTCAAAATTAAAATGAGCTTAAAAATGTGTTTACTACTTCTAGTTTAGACAAGAATACCATTTTTATCTAAAAATACCATTTTTATTTAGAAAGAAAAAATGTGCACAGTCCTCCTCTATCTCCATCTATCTACTACTAAAAGAAGAAAAAAAAAAAGTTTTCCCTAACATAGAAACAAAACAAGCTTGCCTTACTGCTAGGTGACACAAGCAAATTAAGCCTTTCTGACTTTTACATGAAACAAATGAGAAAAGATACACAAGAAAAGTATAAAACATAAGGAAAAGATACACATAATAAAATCAAGAAACAAGCTTAAAGACAGGAAAGATGTGACTCAAAACGCTAGCAATGGTTATTTTCTTTTGCTGACCTTTTTTCATTTGCCTTTCAGTATTTATATCCATCTACTGAGCAAGCATAGTACTTGTTAAGGCAACATGATAGCAGTTAACACATGTTATCTCACTTTATTCCTAAAACAACCTTTGTTTTATAATCACTAATACTGACTCAGAGACATCAAGAAACAAACTCCTGAGGCTGGGGCTGGGGCTGTAGCTCAGTGGCAGAGCGCTTGCCTGGCACACGTGAGGCACTGGGGTTGATCCTCAGCATTACATAAAATAAACAAAATAAAGACATGCTATCCCTCTACAACTACAAAAAAAAAAAAAACAAAAAAAACTCCCATCTCAATAGTATTAGCAGCAATAAATTAAGCCCAGATCTCTCTTACTTCAAAGCCCCAAGTTCTTAACCACCTGATAAAAAGCAATTCTGAATAAAGATTAAGGGCATACTCAAAGGCCAGACTGCCTGAGTTCAAATACTGTGTGGCTTTGGTAAAATTCCTTCATTTTTCTGTGCTGTTTTCTCATCTATGAAATAAGAAAAAAGACAATATAATTAACCTTCCGTATCTATGGGTTGCACATCTGTGGATTCAGATTGAAAATATTTGGAGGAAAAAATGCACTTACACTGAACACATACAAAAGTTTTTGTCATCATTCACTAAAATATAGTATAGCAATTATTTACATAGCTTTAAATCATATTAGGTATTATAAGTAATCTAGATATAACTTAAATAATACAGGAAGATGTGAATAGGTTACAAGCAAATATACATTTTATATAAAGGACTTGAGCACCCACAGATTTTGTTTATCTTTGGGAGTTCCTGGAATCAATTCCCCACAGATACTGAGGAACAGCTGGAATTGCCTCATAGGATTGTTACAAGAACTAACAAATTTATACTACACAACAATATATAATAAACTATATAAAGTTTGCTACTATTAGGATTATGTTATACTAACCTAGTTCCCTTGAATGACACTGTATTATTTTTATGATAATTTAGCATTAACAAGAATTTTATAAAGGAGAATTTAAGTTTCTATCACTAGACCTAAAACTTTAATCATTTTATACATTCTGGTAAATGTCAAATGACTTCAGAATATTTTACATAACATTACTTCAATCTGATTTATTATTCCAATGGATATTTAATAAAAACAGCAGGATTTCCAAAACTTAAAATAAATGTTTTTGCAAGCCTCATAATTTGTGAAAATTTTACCTACTGTTTTAGTTACTCTCTCCTGTCTACCTTTTGCTTTCTTAGCAGTTTCATAAAGTACAGTGAAATGGGATGAAAAAGACAGATTTATTTTAAGGAGTTTATCTTAATAAACATATCATTTTTTCAAAAAATGAAAAAAAGATTCTTAGGATGTTTTAAAACTTCAGCCATATTAATAGCAAATATGAATAAATCAGATGGAAGAAACTATAAAAACATAGTCAAAACTTGTAGAATTTAATAAAATTCAATACTCAACAATTACAATGAAACCCCATCTTAACCGTAAGTATTAAGTATTATGTTTTTTAATTTATTTTCTATTTGAATGAAATGTTAAAGCAGAAAGATAGAAGAGAAAAATGGCATATTTTAAAGAGCTTTAAAACTAAACATTACTTCAAAATATGAATGGGTTTGTTGATAACAAGATTTCCAGCCTCGTAAGTTTTAGTTAATGGCCTTTCTCTAAGAAGAAAACTAAGAACAAGTAAAACAAAACCAAAAAACAATCCACATATAAAACACTGGAAGTAATAAATTAAAACATATTCAGAGAAAAATAGATTCTAGTTTAGCATAAACTTTTTCTAAACAATCTGGAAATCTCCCTGGTAGCCATAAATACAAAAGACAATATACTCAATGATAACCAGTTGCTGAATAACAATATTATATTGAGCCTATTACAAAAACAAGTACCAAAGGAACATAATCTGACCCACTGATATGAACAAAATTAAAACATCAGGTCTTTCTACCTCTCTCAAAACAGATTTTTTACTATTTGGCTTCTTCAAAAAAGAAAGAAAGAAAGCTAAATGTGAACTTTTCCACCAAACCAACTAATGTATGCCATCTTTAGTTATTCTAACAGGAAAAAAAAAGTTTTCCAAATAACAAGAAGCAAAAATTATCATAAATATACTAATTAATCATTACCATATTAATTTTTTAAAAAATAACATCAGTATTCACTATTATTTTGATGAGCTTTGCCTATAATATCAAGTCAACAAATAATAAGTACCTTGTTCAAAACTGATTTAGGGGCTCTCTAGTTCATAAATTAAGACATGGATAAGAATAATTAAAACTCAAGGCAACATAAAAATATGAAAAAAGGTACAAAGTATTGTAAGAATTCAAAAGAGGCAGAATTTACTTCCAAATGGGGCTTTAGAGAAAATTTAGAAAAAGATGGCATTTCAGCTGGGGCTTAAACAATAGGTACGTTTGCTATTAGCAAAGTCTGGAACCAGCTAAGGAGATATCATTCCAAGTAGAAGGGACAAGATAAGCAAAAAAGCAAAGTTGTACAGTCCAAACAAAGCAAAACCAGGAAACAATGTACAGGGATCATAAAGACCAATGGTGTAGAGAAAAGAAGTTCTGAGAATTCTCATTCACACTAGTTATGTAAAATTTGGGATAAATTATTTAATGCCCCTGATTCAGTTTCTTCATTTGTAAAACTGGAATATTACCATATCCCTTGGCAGGGTTACTGTGAGACCTAGAAAAATAAATAAATAAAGCATCTAGCACAGAGTAAGTATTCAATAAATACTAGTTACTACTCATATTATTTTGAACAAGACTAAATATATTCTCAAAACATGTGAAGTATGTTATGAGACAACAATTTGACAGGTATTCAATAAACTTAGAATTAGCCTGAAAACAAACAAGCAAACAATCATAACAACAAAGAGAAAAGGTAGGTGACTAAAAGATACCTGATCATTTAACCAGTTATGAGGCCAGTAAAAGGTTTAAGAATATAACAAAGAGAAAGAAGAAAATAACAGTCCAAACAGTGCTGGCAATAAATTAGTATTTGAACACACTAGCACACCGAGAAACAATCCCTTTACTTCTCTGAGCCTACGTGTCCAACCAGGTCCTTCCAATAATATCACTAAAATACTCAAAAGTGATCAATTTCCTGTAAGATTCAGATGTTCTGAATAATCCATTTTGTATCAGCCCACTTTTTTTCTCCAAATAAAATGCACCTCTGAGAAAAAACACTAAGGAACTGAATGACTTCCTTTTAGACATCCTTACCTTTTTTTTTTTTTTAGTTGTAGATGGATAGCATGCCTTTATTTTGTTTCATTTTTATATGGTGCTAAGGATCGAACCCAGTGCCTCACACATTCTAGGCAAGTGCTCTGCCACTGAGCTATAGCCTCAGCCCCAACATCCTTACTCTTAATGCTTAACAACTTCCAAGAGTAGAAAGAAAGACATTTCTATAATTTTATCATGAAGTAATCTTTTTTTTTTTTTTTACAAATAACATCCTTTTGAGAGAGACATCCTAATGCCTTTCCTATTTAAATGAGAGCCATTATCTCAACCAAGTCTGAGTTTTCATTGACTACAACATGCCTCTAATACATAAACTTTTAATTCTTCATGGTGTAGTTTGGTGGCAATCAATAAAACAATACATAGAATTCAAACTGCACAAAACGGTACAATTTGGCTCAAGAATAGTGCTGCCATGGAAGGAAAATAAAAGCCCCCATTCCCAGAATACTCTACTAGACTTGTTGAATTAATGAGCCAACCCCCAATTCATTAACATTTTTGTTTCACTTACTTTCTAAACCTAAAGTACCTAACAGATGCTGCCTTCTACACAATGAAAAGAACACATTCTATGAAGCTAGATAAGTAGCTTCTAACTGATAACCTTAAAGGGATGGAGTGGGGGGAATTTATCCATCCATACCCCAAGGAAAGAAAAACAAAATTTCAGCTAGAGTAAAGCAGGGGTATCTCTAAAGTTTATATCCAAAGGGGGTTACACCTGGAATTAGCCTAGAAACAAACAAGCAAAGAATCATAAGGTCAAAGCTAGAGATGCTACTAAACATCCCATGATGCACAAAACATTATCTTGCCCAAAATGTCAATATTGTGGAAGCTGAGAAACACTGAAACAGAGAAAAGGAAAGAATGAAACAGAAAGTGGGAAAGAAAAGTGAATATCAATAAACATTAAAGATGATTTTTTTTAAATCAAAAAATTGATAAATAACTTCTAAGACTAA